ACCGGCGTATCATACGCCGTCGATAATTATGTTGTCCGCGTCATCTACGTCGAAACGTTTATTGCCAAACATCAATCCATCCTTGTGTAAGTAAACGCCGTACACATGATCTATACCGCTCTCTTTATCTCCCCTCAGGACAGCCTCGACGTACTTTTGCCCGAACGGGCCCAAGCCAGCTCTTAACGCCTCTCGACGTTTTACAGTTTGATTTTGAATCTTCGTCGCTAGCGAGAAAAGAAAACGTTCTCCAACGACTCTATCGTCGGATTTTGGCACGCGGTGTGGAGGATATCGGCTGTGCACGATCGTGCGATCGATCATTGGATTTATGCAGAGTCGTGGAACACTCGAATGTCTCGTTCGCTTCTTCTCCCTCCTCCTCCTTCTCTTGTTCCTCTTCCTCCTTCCTCTCACGTTTAGAGACAGACGTCGCTTCGCGACTCTCTTTTTATAGCGCGCACGCTGGAGCTGTCGACGAAAAGTCGCAGCGGCTCGATAAGAGGTTTAAAATGTCTGTCCAACGCGATGCCCTCCTCAATTCTACCGGTCTTCAGAGCGTGATGTTTCTTGCGGATCGACTCGCTCGTCTTCTCGATTTCCATCGCGATTTTTTCACGCTCGCACACATCTGCCATGTTCGTCTCTGGCTAAGTATCGGCAACGACTGGTCACGTTACGGTATCGCGAACTCGTTAAATCCTTTTCTGTATCGTCCGTTTGTGAGCCCACGGACTATCACTAGAAATCCATATTTTTGCTGCCAACAGTCGCGGCACAACGTGCAAAATTCATCGTACGATATGTCGGTATTCACATGATCGTTGTAAACGTGTTTCAAGTTGGTACCGTCCTGTTTGAACAGGATCAGAAGATTCACGTTGTCGCGTATCAGATGTTTAGCTATCCTCGCGTACGTCTGACAGAGATAGAAGCAGTCGACGTTCGCGTGATGACCCATCGAAAAGTATTCTCTCACCGCATCCTGCTTGTCGCATGCCACGCCATCAAAGATAAAAATAGAGTTTGGACGCGCCTCGCTCGGTGGAATGACGTCGCTGTTGTTGAAGAACGTAAAGTAGCCGATTTCATTGATAGACGTAAACAAATTTTCGAGATATCGATACTTTGACTGCTGCAACGATTTCGAGTAGACGTACACGTTTTCGAAACGTACGCCGTTCGGGCTCTCGAGTAAGCTTATGAGAACGTTGGTTTTACCACAATTCGACGGGCCGCAAATGATCGCGCGTATAGTATTCGGCAGCATTTCGCCGTGCTTGCGCTTCTCTACGCTGCCTCCCATTCGCGATTTCGCGTCGTAGTTCGACGCGTATCGACAACGGTTGCAGCACGAATTTCATGTTCACACTAAGGCTAGTCGGACTCTCGAACGACTATTTAAAGGCGCGCGAATTTACGAGTCGCGCAGTAGCAAAATGTATCTCGTGCTGTGTCATCCTTTCGACATTCAGGACTTGAACGC